GACAGGGTGCAGCAGTCTGGTAGCCAGGTAGCTCGAGGGATTAATGGGAAAGGCCTCTCTTGTCCTGGGGGAAGGGGAGCAGTACTGACCTGGAGGTGCCCCCAGCAAGATAGTAGAAAGCCCCACCTCAGTATACCAGGAGGAGATCCTGAAACCCAGATAGTGGAACAGGCAAACACCAGCACCTGGATCCCTGAGAACCTCAGTGAAGGTGGGAGAACCATTAGAAACCAGTTTGGAAAACCGCCAGGTACCTGGGCATTCTACAGCAACCAGCTTTCCCTGTGTCTCACCAAAACTAAAACTGATCCAGGAAAGACAATTTAAAAATTATTGGTCTACCTGAAAATCACAATGAAAAAAAGATCCTGGACAGTATCTTTCAGGAAATCATTAAGGAAAATTGCCCTGAGGTCTTAGTAAAATAGCCATAGAAAGAATCCACCAATCACCTCCTGAAAGAGATCCCAAATTGAAAACGTCATTTATCCTATTCTTTCCCCCTTATTTATCTTATTCTCTCCTTTGACCCTATCCCTCCACAAAAGTGTTTGCTTCTGATTACCCCTTCCCCAACCTGCTCTCCCTTCCAACATCGCCCCCTCTCCTATCCCCTTCCCCCCACTTTCCTATAGGGTAATATGGATTTCCATACCCAATTAGGTACGTATGTTATTCCCTCCTTAAGCCAAATATGATGAGAATAAGATTCATTCATTCCCTCTCACTTCCCTCCTCTTCCCCTCCACTGTAAAAGCTTTTTCTTGCCTCTTTTATATGAGATAATTGATCCCATTCTACCTCTCCTTTTCTCCTCCCAGTACAATCCTCTGTCACCACATAATTTTATTTTTTAGATATTATCCCTTCATATTCAACTCACCCTGGGCCTGCTATGTTTGTGTATGTTTGTGTGTGTGTGTGTGTGTGTGTGTGTGCGTGCGTGTGTGTGTGTGTGCGTGCGTGTGTGTGTGTGTGTGTGTGTGTGTGTGTGTGTGTGTGTGTGTATTACCTCCAAGAAAGATTTCATGAGTTATAAATAACATCTTTCCTTGTAGGAATGTAAATAGTTCAACTTCAATAAGTCCCTTATGATTTCTCTTTCCTGTTTACCTTTTCATGCTTCTCTTGAATCTTGTATTTGAAAGTCAAATTTTCTATTCAGCTCTGGTCTTTTCATCAAGTATGCTTGAAAGTCCTCTATTTCATTGAATATCCATTTTCCCCTGAAAGATTATACTCAGTTTTTCTGGGTAGGTTATTCTTGGTTTTAATCCTAGCTTTTTTGACCTCCAGAATACCATATTTCAAGACCTCTGATTCCTCAATGTAGAAGCTGTTACACCTTGTGTTATCCCGATCGTGTTTCCACAATATTTGAATTATTTCTTTCTGACTGTTTGCAATATTTTCTTCTTGACCTGGAGCTCTGGAATATTCCTAAGAGCTTTTCTTTTGAGATCACTTTTAGGAGGTCATCAGGGAATTCTTTCAATTTCAATTTTACTCTCTGATTCTAGAATATCAGGACAGTTTTCCTCGATCATTTCTTGAAAGATGATATCTAGGCTCTTTTTTCAATCATGGCTTTCAGGTAGTCCAGTAATTTCTAAATGACCTCTCCTGGATTTATTTTTCAGGTCAGTTGTTTTTCCAATGAGATATATCATTGTCTTCTCTTTTCTCTTTTTTTATGGTTTATTTTATATTTTCTTGATTTCTCATAGGGTCATTAGCTTCCTTTTGCTTCATTCTAATTTTTAAGGAATCATTTTCTTCAGTGAGCTTTTGGACCTCCTTTTCCATCTGGCCAATTCTGCTTTTTAAGGCATTCTTCTCCTCATTACCTCTTTGGACCTCTTTTGCCATTTGGGTTAGTCTATTTTCTTATTTTTTATTTTTAGGCAATTGGGATTAAGTGACTTGGCCAGGGTCACATGGCTAGTAAGTGTCTGAAGCCAGATTTGAACTCAGGCCCTCCTGACTCCAGGGCTAGTGCTCTATCCACAGTGCCACCTACCCCCACCCCTGGGTTGGTCTATTTTTTAAGGTGTTATTTTCTGCAATATTTTTTTAGGTCTCCTTTAGTAAGCTGTTGACTGGTTTTTCTCATAGTTTTCTTGCATCACTCTCACTTCTCTTCCCAATTATTCCTCTGCTTCTCTTACTTGCTTCTCAAAATCCTTTTCAAGCTGTACCACGGCCTGAGACCAATTCATATTTTTCTTGGAGGCTTTGGCTGTAGGAGCTCTGACTTTGTTGTCTTCTTCTGGTAGTATGTTTTGATCTTCTTTTTCACCAAAGTAAGATTTTATAGTCTGAGGTTTTTTTTCTCACTGCCTGCTCATGTTTCTAGTCAATTACTTGACTTTTTAACTCTTTGTTAAGGTAAGGCTCTGTTTCCAGTGTGGAGGGTGTACTGTCCCAAGCTCTAGGGGTTTTGTGCAGTTGTTTTCAGAGATACTTCTAGGGACCTTTAAATTTTCAGTTCTTCCAAGGTGGTATGATCAAAGGAGAGGTGTTTATTCCTTTCCTGGGCAGCTTGGTCTTTGAGTGACCACAAGCACTGTTTTCTACCTTGAAACTGTGAGGAGGATTTCCTCTTCACCATGCCATAAGCTCTATCTCTCCAGCACCCCCCTCACCCCTAGGACCACCACCCAGGACTGCAACTCAAATCCCAGCATGGGCAAAGCAAGAGATTCCTGCCTCAGCACCACCAAAAATATCCCTGCAATCCCCCTCTGATAAGCTGCTAGATCCCCTCTCCATCTGTGGGCAGAGAGCTCCGGAAGCAGCCACAGCCCTGGGGCTATGTTGGAACTGGGGCTGGGACCAAGCTTCTCTCTCACCACTGTCACAGAACTTTCCTACTGACCTTCTAAATTGTATTTGGCGTTTGTGGGCTGAGAAGTATGGAAACCACCACAGCTGCCCATGATTCAGTCCCCTGAGCCCTGATCCAGGTTTGCTGAGTTCTGGTCTTTGCCTTCACACTCATGCTGAACTCTGTTCCTCTCCCAGCCTGGTGCAACAGACCTTTGCTATCAACCATACAGGGTGTCTTGGGCTGGAAATTTGTTTCACTCCATTTTTTTTGTGGGTTCTGCTGCTCTAGAATTTGTTTAGAGTCATTTTCACAGGTATTTGGAGGGGTTTTGGGGAGAGCTCAAGCTAGTCACTGCTTTTACACTGTCCTCTTGGCTCTTCCCCCTCCCCCCAATTTAGGGTTTTCTTGACAAAGATGCTGGAGTGGTTTGCTGTTTCTATTTCCAGATCATTTTACAAATGAGGAAACTGAGGCAAATAGGGTGAAGTGACTTGCCCAGGGTCACACAGCTGATAAGTGTCTGAGGACAGACTTGAACTCAGGTCTTCCTGATACCAGGCCCAGGATGCTATCTATTGCACCATCTAGCTGCCCCCTAGCTAATAAGAGTAGAAATTTGGTAAATGGCCCCAGATGGGAGGCTGCACATGGATATATATGAGGATACATAGATAAGGTCTTCTTTAGAATGTTATTTCATAGAGAATGACAGCCTCACTTTTGTCAAGTCAAATCTCCTGGAACCTAATAAAGCATCTGGCCCAGTGTAGGTACTTAATAACTTGTGATTGATTAAGGGTCAGTTCCATAGTAAGGACGTGATGCAGGCAGCCCCAGAATCACCCCTGCCTCTCTCCCAGGGCTGTTGTTAAGGACAGAATATAATAATGTGTGATAACACCCTGTAAACAATATAGTGCCAAACAAGTGTGAAGTCTTCTATTACTTTGGAGTTGCAAAGAAGGCACTAAGAAGGCAAGTGGAAATGCCCAGAAGACCTGAGGATGGTGAATGCTTCCTCAGGAAGGATAAAGAAAGTCTGAGAGAGGAACATACTCTTCCCTGTGTAGAATTTCCTCTCCTTAGCTTATTTTTTTTTCAAAGCCCTAATTTTTATTGTTGTTCAGCCATGTCAGACTTTTCGTGACCTCATTTGGGGTTCCTTAGCAAAAATACTCATGGTTTGCCATTTCGTTCTCCAGTTCATTTTATAGATGAGGAAATTGAGGCAAGCAGGGTGAAGTGATTTGCCCAGGGTCACACAGCTAGTAAGTGTCTAAGGATAAATTTGAACTGAAGAAGATGAATCTTGTTGATTCTAGTCATGAAACACTATTTACTGTGTCACAGAGCTGTCCTTATTTTAATCCCATTTACTTCACCTTATCCTAGGCAGGAAGGATAGAGCCCTGAGCTGGAATCAGGAAGACCTTAATGCAAATCCAGCCTGAGATGCATCCTAGCTAGGTGGCCCAGGCAGGTCACCTATTACCTGTCTCTGTCTCTGCCACTGTGAAATGAGGATAATTATAGCACCCTCCTGTCAGGATGGTTTAAAGGATCAAAAGATATAGTTGTGCTTAATAAATGCTTTTTTCCCTCTCCCCTTCCTTCCATCCTTCCTTCCTTTCCCCTCCCTTTCTTCCTTCCTTCCTTTCTTCCTTTCTTTCTTGTTTCCTCCATCCCTTTCTTTCCTTCCCTTTTTCCTTCCTTTTTTCCTTGCTTCTTTCCTTCCATCCACCCTTCGTCCCTTCCTTCCTTCTTTTTTTCCTTCATCAGGACTCGGTCTGCAAAATGGTGGTTCTGGACTAGACCTCTTCAGTCACTTACACTTCTAAAGTTATGTTCCTTTAAACCTCATTTGCCTGTGGAGCCAAATATCACAATTTATTCTCTCAGCCATGATGACCCTTGAAATCCTTCAAGTTAATGGTCATTTTCCCCTAATCTTATCTGGATGCCAAGTAGGGCTGGGGAAAGAAAATAAAGTCAAAGCAATAAAAGGATTATTTGCAGGGATTTTTTCAAAAATACAATCATGATACTTTAGATGAATGTCGTCTTAGTGCATTTTCTTGTCCGCCAGGTATGAGAATGAAAGATCAGCTAATAGGAGGAGTTTCAAGGCCCGAAGTCATGTGTTTGAGAGAGTATATTAATCCAGACTAGACACAAAGCTTCCTGTGATCTTTCTGCTTTGCTCAACAAGGCAGCTAGGGAGTCAGAAGAAATTCAGGCACAGTCCATTGACCTGCACAGCAAAGGGAAAACCGTGACCACAGAATGGCCACAGCAGGAAAAGTAAGCAGAAACTTTACTTACCATTACTAATAGCCTTATTAAGTATAATTGCTAAAGAGGTACATACACTGTTATTGTTTGAATCTATGAATAATAATACTCTTTAAAATAATTATCAGCAAAGTATGATTTGTTTACTGAGAGAAAATTCTGAAGTACCAATGTATTATTTTTTTCCAATTTTGTCTGGCCTGCGCATCTAATCATTTACATTCTCCTTCCATGTCTAAAAGAAATGCACAGGTATATAGGGAGCTAACTCCAAACCAGATTTGGCTAAGTCTAGACTCAGTGAAGTCTTTTAATGAAGAAGCTTACTTTACATTAGAAGAACATAATTCATCTTATCTCCTCTATCATTGTGTTTATTTCTTAAAGAAACACAAAGGATTGAAATTAGAGAAATGATTTCATTAGTGGAATTGGGAGGACTGCATTATATATAACTTAGTGTTCTAACACCTAGCATCAAATCATTAAGACCCATAAAGCAGTGGAAATTGTGCTGTCTAGACTCTCATCATTGGCCCATAAACATTGATTAAATGTATTTATAACTGAGCACTAGTTCTGGTAGGAGAGAAGGAGAGGAGGACAGGAGAGAGAAGAGGAAGAAAGAGGATGGAAAAGGACAGAACTTATTTTCTTTTCACATTGCTCCACACAACAGGGACATGTTCACAGCAGTATGAAATATCAGCCTAAGACTTTGTGGAGGATAGATATAGAGAAATCATTTTATGTGTGAACATGAGTGCATTTAGAGATTGAATAATGGTAATGATTTAATAGTAATAATGGTAAGCAGTAATATAGTAATGATTTAGATAATAAAATAATTAGTAATTTAATAAAAGAAATGATTTTAAAATAATAATAGTAAATAGCAATTTAATAACAGTATTAGTAATAATAGTAATGATTTAATAAGAACAGTACATAGTAATGGTAATAATTGTAATGATTTAGTAATTAATAAAGTCATTTAATAATAGGAATAATTTAATAACAGTAATAGTAAATAGAGTTTTCATTATAGTAAGAGTTAATAATAATAGTAAATAGTAATTTAATAATAGTAATTAATAATAGTAATAGTGTTGATATAATAATAGTGTAGCAAATAATAATTCAATAATAGTAATAGTAAGGATTTAATAATAGTAATAGCAAATAGTAATTTAATAATTATAATTATAGGAATGATTTAATAATAGTAATGGCATTTTGATAGAGCTTTCAGATTTGCAAAACAATTTACATGCTTTATCTTGTGATCTTTACAACAAATCTGTGAAGAAGGTACGAATTATTGCTATGCCCATTTTACAGGTGAGAACATTGAGCTTTGTAAATGCTACGTGACTTGGCCTGACTAATGTTGCAAGACCTCCTAATACTGAAATTTCTACTACATTAGGTTATCAGTGACTTGGTATTAAGTATTATTAGAGTCATAATTTAGAGACTATTATAATGCAGTCCCTCAAATGAAATCATTTGATTCAATTTCCATGTTTTGTGTTAAAACTTTAAAGTTAATGTAAATGCACAAGAGGCCCTCCAAAATTACTTTCTAATGTGAAATTAATATCTTGATCAAAGACTTTCCTGACTTGAGACTTAGCAAGTCAGCCTATACCTAAGGTCATTAAACTTTAGTAGAGCCCCTATTACCTCAAGATCAACCCTAAAATTGTGTTTTTGGTTTTTAAAGGAATTTACAACCTGACACCTTCCACTCTTCCTGCCACTCTACAAAGACCATACCTTTGATTCTCATTACCTGAAGGTGTTCTACTTTTTAAACTCTTACTTCATCTCCTCATTTATTGTTTGTTTGTTTGTTTGTTTGCTTGTTTGTTTGTTTTTTGGTGAGGCAATTGGGTTAAGTGACTTGCCCAGGGTCATACAGCTAGTAAGTATATCGTGTCTGAGGTCACATTTGAACTCAGCTCCTCCTGACTCCAAGGCCAGAGCTCTACTCAATGTGCGACATAGCTGCCCCACTTTGAAGTTTTTTTTTTTTTAATTTTGGTAACTATGTGTCAATATGATTGGTTTTCTTTGTAATCCTATGTGTTGTTTTATGCATTTAAAATCATTAGCTTTTCTGGAATACCAAAAGGTGCTGTATTCTTAGTGCTTAACACAGTACATAGTGGGCCCTTTAATAAATGTATTGACTTGACTAGCCTTTTTCCTAGAGACACACTAACTTTCTGTGGAGAGACAATTTACTATAGCCTCAGGGTAGAAATATTTGGTCTACCCATAACCCTTTCTATAGATGACACACAGAAAAGGTTAATAGGAATTCCAATACACAGTCTGTGTGTAGTGTGTGTGTGTGTGTGTGGTTGTGTGTGTCTGTCTGTGTGCGTGTGTGTGTGTGTGTGTGTGTGTGTGAGAGAGAGAGAGAGAGAGAGAGAGAGAGAGAGGAGAGAGAGAGAGAGAGAGATTGTGCTACTAAATGTTTAACAACTGGGTTTCTGAACTTTCCAAAAGCATGCCATACAGGTTTAATCTACATTATTAACATTTTCTTAAGTCTAGATAATCAAGAAAAAGGTAAAGCAAGCTTTTATTTGTAGCTTTGCTGATTTCTAAGGTATAAATGCTCATACTGAAAATTTTACAGTCATCTCCAACAAGTGTGAGCTGGCTCCAGCGCATCTCTGGCTCCCCAGGATTTAGTGATCATGCAAACAGCCAGGACTCCCAAATCTACATATCTTGCTCAAATATCATTCTTGAATCCCAGTCCCTCTCTTTGCTGCATGTTTCTCACGTCTATGTCTCACAGACATCTCAAACTCAAACTGCCTCTCAGGTTTAGAAAGTTAGTAATACTGTTCTCCAGAAGGGATCACTAGTCACTTACCTCATTTCTGTTTCATTTTCCAGGTCATTAAATGCAAAGCTGCTGTTCTTTGGGAGCCCAACAAACCCTTATCCATTGAGGAAATAGAAGTTGCCCCACCCAAGGCCAATGAAGTTCGAATTAAGGTAAAAAAGAAAAAAGAAAAGAAAGAAACCCTCAAGTTATAGAAGGATACTATGTTCAACATTGGCTGCAGTTCCAACACTAAATTTGATTTTTTTTTTCTGGGAAAGAAAACAGATCATTTTCAAACTCTGAAACATTAGACCACTACCTGAGGGAAGGAAATGGATAGTGATTAAGGGGTTGAACAATGCCCAGAGATAAGTTATATATTCTTTGCATTTAGATGGGATGGGAAAGTAGATAAGAAGTCCTGCCTCCCATGCCCACCATCCCCAAAACAGCCTGGTAAGAATCTTCAAACTACTACAGAAGAGGCTATTGATATATAAATATAGGTCAAAAGCTGGAAGGGTCCTCAGAGGCCATCTAGAATACCCAGAAGAGGAAACTGAGGCCCAGGAAGGTTGGATAATTTGCCCAAAGTAACAGGGGAGGTAAAGTAAACATCAGAATCAAGATTTGAACTCAGGTCTTCTGATTTCAGAGCCAATGATCTTTCAATTCTACCACACTGCCTATTGTAGAGTAAAACAGAGAGTAGCCAACAAGTCAGAAGAACTGGGCTCTAGCCAGTTATAAGCTATGTGAATTTTAACAAGTCACTTCTTATTCCTAAGGTGCCAATCTGGCCATGACATGATTTTGTTTAAAAATTGCAGTGGTTTTCTGTTGGCTATCGAATGAAATACAGGCTCAATAGACTATCAGGTAAAGCCTTCCAGAGTCTGGCCTCACCCTTCTTTTCCACGTTTATTTCCCACTCCTCACATTCTTTTTTTTTCAGCCAAAGACAAGGTTTATTAGAATATCTGTCATATTGGGCAGACTCTTAAGGAGTCTGAATATCAGTAAACTATTGGCTAGATCATAAGAATGTGAGCAGTGGCTAGATTTTAAGAATCTAAGCCCACTCCTCACTTTCTTGATGTCTCCATTCTAGCCACATAGGGCAACTAGCAGTTCCATGAGCTCCTCCTCCACCTTCCTGCCTCTGTGGATTATATATTAATGGAAGGCACTCCTTTTTTAACTTTTTAAAAAGAATTTTTTTTAAAGTTAGGATTAAGTGACTTGCCCAGGGTCACACAGCTAGTAAGTGTCAAGTGTTTGGTCTGAGGCTGGATTTGAACTCAGGTCCTCCTGACTTCAGAACCAGTGCCCTACCCACTGTGCCAACTAGCTGCCTCCTCTTTTTTTGAATTTAGAACTTGCCCCATTGAAGGACTTTTCCTTCGTGGCCAAGCTTAGAAACCCCTGGCTCTGTGAATCCTTCCCAAATTTCTCCAACTGAAAGCTCTTATATTTTCATTGACTGCTTTGTCTGAATCTCTCCTCATTCTTATTCCCAGCTTATATCATACTTATTTGTCTGAGGGTGGAGTATACCCCTAGAGTTTCTAGTGATAACAATGATCATAGCATTCTAGATTTCTAGATGGAAGGGAGCTTCGGGGACATCTAGTCCAACCTAGTCATTTTATAGATAAGGAAATTGCAATGGCAAAAGTGAAAGGACTTGTCCATGGAGCAGAGCCAAGTTTTGGACCCAGGTCCTTTGATTCTGAATATAGTATATTCTTCCATAGTATCACTCACTCATGATGGTGCATGGCAATGATGACAATGATAACACCAGATCATCACCATAACCTGTTATCATCATTTTATTTTTTTTACCCTTTTTATTGTATTTTTTAATTTGTGAAATAAAAGAAGCACTTCCATAGCAGTGCAGTTTTTGAAAAAGATGATTGCACATAAAACTCTAAATCTATTATGTACAATTTGGTATTCCTTTTGAATATATAATAAAGTTATCATGTAAATTTTTTCTTCTATCCCCTCTCCACACTAGAGATGGCTACCATTGGACACAAATATGTGTGTGTGTGTGTGTGTGTGTGTGTGTGTGTGTGTGTGTAAAATTATTCTATGCATACTTCTATTTATCAGTTCTTTCTCTGGATCCAAATATGTCTTCCTTCATATGTCCGTTGCACTTAATTTGTGTATTTATAATAGTCCAAATGACTTAGTCACTCAAAGTTGTTCTGTTACTGTAAACAGTAACAAGTATTCAAGAGATGCAGGCATGACGTGCATAGGTCCCAAGGAGTTCCTGTAAACTCTCAAAGGTGTCATCCTCTCTTCTCTTGCAGATTGTGGCAACAGGAATCTGTCGCTCTGATGACCACATTATCAGTGGGTCATTGACTCATCCCCTCCCAGTAATCCTGGGGCATGAGGCTGCAGGGATTGTGGAAAGCGTTGGAGATGAGGTGACTTCTGTAAAACCAGGTAAAATACAAAGCACAGTGGAACATTCGAGTTGGTTTTTTCTGTTGTTTTTTTAATTCTTACTTTCTGTTCAAGCTAGTGAAGATAATGTTGTTGATAGACAAAAATTCCAAATGGAAGACAGTCGAGGTAGTCAGGCAGCTTCCAGCTTTACAGTGAGGGCTACATCATCCCCAACCACAAGCATATGCTCTGAATGAGAAAGAAATGACTGACTGTGGATGGACATGGTTAAAGTTCGTTTAAGATGAAAGGTAAAAGTAACTGCAAGCTCCAGTTATGGCCGCTGCCGGTTACAATGTATCTGCTTATTCACATTCTAATTGAATAATCAAACTCTATCCTTGGTAGTGGAGAAGAGAGAAAAAATGATGGATAATGACACTCTACAGAATAATCCATAGTACGCATTTTAACCAAGTTTCAAATTCTTATATTCTTAAATGTTGGATTTTTTTTTGGTCTGGAATCAGGAAGACCTGAGTTCAAATTCTGCCTCAGACATTTATTAGCTGTGTGACCTGAGCAAGCCATCTAACCCCAATTGCCTCACACACACACACACACACACACACACACACACACAAAGTGTGATAACAATTTTGTTTCTTATCAATGGGAACCAGTTTCCTCTTCTATAAAATGAGGCTTGGACAAGATGAACGTCAGATTCTAAAATCTTCTAATTCTAGAATTTTAACAATGCTTTCTCTTCTCCCCATAGGTGACAAAGTCATCCCACTCTTTGTTCCACAGTGCAGGAAATGCAAAGTTTGTAAGCACCCGAATGGCAACCTTTGCTCTGAAAATAAGTAGGTTTCTACTATTTTCCCTTCGGATAGCACCGCAATTGTATTTGAGTTGATGCCTCTCTCTCATCGCCATGTGTGTGTGTGTGTTTGTGTGTGTGTGTGTGTGTGTCTCTCTCTGTCTGTCTGTCTGTTTCCTTCATTAGTGTATCACTCCCTAGTGGCACCTTGCAAGATGGCACCTCCAGATTTACCTGCCGAGGAAAGCCAATTCATCACTTGGCTAGCACAAGCACCTTCAGTGAGTACACAGTGGCAGATGAAATCTCCGTTGTAAAGATTGATCCATCTGCTCCTCTGGAAAAAGTCTGCCTGATTGGCTGCGGATTTTCCACTGGTTATGGCTCTGCAGTAAATGTTGCCAAGGTAAGAAAGAGAGCTTCAATCTACTTCACTCAATAGAGCAGACTGCAAGGTACAAGACACATAACCAAAGAATAGACACTTGGACTAGTAGCTAGAAAGGAAATATTTTCTTATAAGGAAACACAGTAGGCCAGTACAGAGAGCCCTGAATTTGGCAACTGAGGCCAAAAGTTTGAATCCTGGCTCTGATACTTAAATTATGTAAATTACATAAATTATGTAAATTACATGACTTTAAATAAGTCATTCTTTGGGCCTAAGTTTATCTACTAGAAAAAAAAGTAAAAATTGCACTAGGTGGTCATACAGCAAGGGAGTCCAGATAAAAAGCTTTGTCCTACCAAAGATATAGCTTTAACAAACGTTATTGTTCCTTTCAAGGTGAGAATGAGAGCTTCTATTAGCAGGGACAGGCTCAGTGTGGCCTCTCTGGGCAATCCACAGGCTAGTGTTCTACACTACAATTGAAGATCCATAGCAATCAGTTGCTTGAGATCCTGAACTCTCATACTCTACATTTCCTAGGCATCTGACCACCACCAGATTGAGTAGATTCCTGTGTACCCCTCTTCCAAAGCACTTTCCTCCACCCCGCCCCCTCCACTCCCATTCTTTCTCCAAAAAGTTAATTTCTGGAGTGAAATGTTCATCCTCAACTTCTGACACCAGTTTGCATTTCAGGACATTTCAGATAAAGAACAGAGCAGGAAAATAAGAAGTGAAGACTAAGGAAGCAAGAAAATTGACCCTAACTCAATTCCAGCATTTTTTGTCATATTTTCACTTCAGAACTGCCTCTTCTCAAATGAGAAAATGCTCTGGAATCAGAAGTTCAAATATCATTGATGATGTAGCTTTGAGCAAGTCACCTCATGTCTGTGGGCCTCAGAATCCCCATATGTAAAGCATATAGGCAGATAGATGGCAAAATGGACAGACTACTAACATAGATAGATAGATAGATAGATAGATAGATAGATAGATAGATAGATAGATAGATAGATAATGGATAGATAGATAATAGATACATAGGTAGATAGTGATAGATAAATAATAAGGTAGGTAGGTAGATAGATAGATAGGTAGAAAGGTCTAGGTAGATAAGGATTTTATCTCAATAAGATCCTCACAACAGTGCTGTGCATTAGGTATTATTATTATCCTCATTTTGGAGATGAAGAAACTGAGTCTGAAAAAGATTAAGTGACTTGCTCAGGGTCTCACAACTGGTAAGTATCTAAGCCAGGATTAGAACTCAGGTGTTGCTCACTCCAAGTCAGGTGTTCTATCCACTAACATCACTTACTTGCCTAGGTCACTTATTTCTCCTTGGAAGTCCATCCCAACTAAGCTGGGAAATGTTTATCATCAGCTTGGTTGTACAGTGAGGATTTTTCAGGCTCAGAGGATCATGAAGACAATAAAAAAAGGGTTGATGGGGATGTTAATTGGCACCAGTATGGAGAATGACACCTAATATTGACATTATAGCTCCTCGAAGTAAACCGTAAGAGAAGTTGATAATATGGGGGCATCATTGCAATTTTTTCACATTCCTTCAAGGACATTTTTGGTCACTTCTCATGGTCTCTTACACTTCTCTGCTTCCTGCATAAAATGGCTAAAGCCAAGTACCCTAGAGTTGAGTGGCTAACACCTCTCTCCTGATTAAATTTTTTTGAGCTTTAAAACACCTTGGAGAACATGGGATTCAACCCCTTTGTTTTACACATGAAGAAAACAAGGCTCAGAGAGGTTAAATGATCTATTGAATCCTTAAGGCTTTTGTTGTTAGCTCTCTGTACAGCAAAAGATTACTAACTCATTCATGGGAATTTTAGACTGACTTAAGAATTACAAAGATTGTATAAGTACACTACCCAGGGGTGGGTAAATCTAAGTTCTCATGTTTTCTGACCACACAGGTCACTCCTGGCTCTACTTGTGTTGTCTTTGGCCTGGGAGGTGTTGGCTTATCAGTGATCATTGGCTGCAAGACAGCTGGAGCCTCCCGGATCATTGGGGTGGACATTAACAAGGACAAATTTGCAAAGGCCAAAGAGGTAGGCGCTACTGAGTGCATCAACCCTCAGGACTACAAGAAACCAATCCAAGATGTTCTGGTCGAAATGACTGAGGATGGCGTTGATTTTTCATTTGAAGTTATTGGACGTGTGGATACAACAGTAAGTATTTCATGATACTCTGAGATTTCTTCACCTGTGAGCTAAGGCCAGGGTGTTAGTGCAAATCCAAGGGACAAATGATAAAATCATCTGCATCTTTTGGAGTTTGCCTGCTGGGCATACAGACAGTATTAAAGTATTATCTAAGCAATGTTATTCATTTCTGACATTCTTCTTAAGTTGAAAAGGGGAAACATAGCCAGGACTGGATTATTAGATTAATCTCATGAAGAATTAAGCTTCATAATTCTTCATTATGCATTGGAAGGAGTGCTGGTCTAGGAGACCCAAAGATTTGAAAGAAACTAGTACAAAGAGCTTTAGCCTTGAAGTCAGGAAACCTGGGTTCAGATCCCAGCTCTGATGTTTACTAGCTGTGTCACCATGGGAAAGTTCTGTGTCTGAGGCTCAATGAGCTCATCTGTAAAATGGGAATAATGATACTTGTATGACCTATCACAAGATCATTTTGAGGAATGTTTTAAGTGAACCTTCAAGTACTATGTAAATGTGAGAGGGGCAAGAAAGGAGAATGGATAGAGGTTGGCCTCAGAGTCGGGTTTACATTTGTTCAACTTTTGTCTCTGATAAATACTGCATATGAGATCCTGGGCAATTAACTTAACATCTTAGATCCCAGGTAATTTTCTCAAACTACGAAATGCAGCACAGTTACTGGTTAATACTGGCACAAGAAGCTTATTTATCATGCAACTACTCAGGGGTCTGCAATACAAGATCTAGATATTTGTTTAAGGAAGTTATAGCATTTAGATATAATAGAAATATGCATTATTGTTAATAACCACTATTAGTGATATCAGTAACAATAGTAAAGCACAGTTTTCTTCTTTAATAACTGCAAACTTCTCCCAGAAACAAAGCTCATCCTTTTTAATAAGAATATTCTACTGGTTTTACATGGATGTGGGTGATGGAAAACTGTTGAGGACAAACAATAAGTTTCCCAAAAAGTCAATGGGAGGACTCATGGTGGGGATGAGCAGACAGCAAACATCCTAATTAAAGAATTCTAAAGAGAACTAAAGTAAAAGATGTCATCAGGGAATACAGATGCAGGAAAAAAATACTAGCTGGTCATGTAGGGAGCCCATAATGACTATTGGAGAACCCAAGTACTACTGGTATGTCTCAGAGAGGGAGGAAAGCCTACAGAACATTGGCTTGAACTCTTGTTATAGCCTTGTGGGCAGACATGGATAAGGGTCACCCCAGGATATAAGGTAACAGGGGGGGTGCAGCGAAGATCAAAATGCATCATTGAATGAAACACCCAAACCAATGAGATCACAGATTCACTTGAGGACCTGATGACGCTCTCTTCCATAATTCTTCGTCTCCTGAGAGCAGAGCAGGATCATCAGTAATCTTGAGCCATAATTAGAAATGCCATCTTTGTCCTGTAATAGGAGTAAACACTTTAAAATTGATAAAAATTGATTTTATATAAGGTGCCCAGAAAAGAGCACTGTGGAAGACAGTTTGGATGAGGAGCTCTTTTCTACCCTGTCTTTCTTTGGAGGGAGTGAGTAGAATTGACCACACTTGTGTCCACCCACTGGACAAAACAGGAAATGACCTTCCATTGAGGTCCCCACTTTCTCTCTCACCTCAGGAAGTAAACCCCAAACATCCCTACTACAAAAGCAACCTGTCCACTTGAAGTTAATGAATGAGTTCATAAGCTTTAGTCTAGAGCAAAATACCAGTTTCACTTGACTTCCTTTCTCTGAAAATTTCTTTAAAAGCTCAAACATTCAGAGTGTACATAAAATTCATAAAGGCTCCAAGCCTCCTGCCATCTAAGCTGGAATAGTTTCCTGGCAAGTTGAATTGGAGTTAGAATAACAGCTAGCATTTACATAAGGCTTTAAGGTTTAAGGCTTTTTACAAATATTACTTCATTATCCTTACAACAACCGAGAAAGGTAATGCTATATTATCCATTTTAAAGATGAAAAAAATGAAGGCTGAGGAGAGTTAAGTGACTTGCCAGGGTCAGACAGCTAGTAAGTGTCTGAAGTTGAATTTTAACTCAGGTCTTCCCAACTCCAGGATGTAATTAAATTATCTTATCCTTATCCTATTAACCATTGTTTAAAAAGTGAAAATAACCAATACGCAAAATTTTAAACAGCAAGAAACATTTAGTAATGAATTATGCTACTCATTGCATGGGTCAATAAAACAGAAGTGAGAAACAGAATGGGGTCAATTCACTGTTGTTCCAGGAGCTCCTCTGAATAGCCATAATTCAGTCATAACCTTGCTAGATTATCTTATTATGGTGGCCTTTAGCCAGGGAAAATATATTCTATCAACTATGCTGCTCTTATCAGCTAGATAAAATACACACGAATAGCATCTTTGGGGTAGAATGAAAATGTTCTTATATTGCTTGCAAGTGAACGAAACAGAATTTTGGCAAGCAAGCATTTATTATGCACCTCCTATTTATTAGTTACTGTGATGGCACTTGAAATACAGTAACAAAAATAGGAGCCTACAGAATTTGGTCTTCAGAATCTTAGAGATTTTAGTAAGAAGGCCAGGGACTCTCTGTTCTTATACAGAGGTAATGCTGAGTTAAGACACAAATCAGGAAAACTGACTTCAATCCTGTCTCAGAAACTCACTCAGCTGTGTGGCCCTGGGCAAATCACTTAACCTCTCTCAGCCTCAGTTTCTTCATCTGTAAAATGAGGATAGTAATAGCATGTACTTCACAGAGATATTTGAGATCCAATTATAACATGTGTAAAGAGTCTGCAGATCTTAAATGCTAATTATTATTATTGCCAATAGCAGCAATAATATAGTAACTAGCTGAGTAGCCATGGGCAAACCCCTTAGCTTCTCTGCATCAGTTTCTTTATTATAAGGTGAAGATACTTGAATTACTTCCCTAAGAAGGTTGTGAAAAGGAAAGACACACTATATTAGTGATGTGTAATTATAGGGAGCAGCAGACTAAAAGCCATTATGGCTTCAGCCATTATTTGGAAAACATATTAATGGGAAGATAAGAAATCAAAGAAGTCAGATGGATCTAAGGTGACTTTAGATTTTCTTTTTCCCACGTTCCATAGCCTTAATTTCCCTGATAAAACTTGGCTTTCAGACTTTCTTTAAGGTCCATTTTCCCCACAGCTATGAATTTTCAGGCTGCTTCATAACCTAGAACCTATAAATCAAGAACAGCATATTCCCAGAAGAAGTTCTAGCTGAAAAGACTTAGAAAATGGATATCCAGAAGGGGAATGCTCTAGAGTCTTTTGGCATTTAAAGAGTCCAAGATGACAGACATATCTAGAAGTAGCATAAAAATCTAAATTCTTTAAAGAAAAAAAAATTAATGAATATTGGATATAAACCCAGAAAACTGGAGAGGAGGAGAGAAGAGAATAACTAAACACACAGAACATAAAATTTAAGTGAATACTTGCCTCAATTAAATGCCCCAAATATTATGTGACAATAATAATGATAATAATAACAATAAATACTGAAATTTATATAGCATTTTAAGGTTTACAACAACTGTATGAGGTAACAAAGTATTAATATCCTGATTTTATGAGTGAAGACACTGAATCTCAGAGTATTTGGGTGACTTCCCCATGGTCAAATAGCTAGTGAAAGTTGATCTGGCATAAGAACCCAGAGATCTCCTCACTCCAAATTCTGTGTTCCTTCCAGGCCACTATACTTCTTGGTGAGACATTGCAGTTAGTTCTATGAAGGGCAAGATCATCTCCCTGTTTGGAAATAACTATTTGCTCAGCTAACTAATAAGAGAAGACCAAGCTACTCTTTCCTTCTTCCTGAGTGAAAGCTCCAGCATTTTTCAAAGCACTTTCTCTGTGTGTCACTTTGTCCCAGAGCCTTGGTAGCCATATTTGGAGTTTTCTAGGAGCTCCTGATTTCAGGAAAAGAAATTAGGCTTTTAAGCAAGACTTGTCACAGGGAGATTCTTAGTGAGGTTATGATGCATATAATAAGCAACTTACAAACTAGGTGGGTAATTGTTTTGTAGCTCTTTATTATAGTACCGTGGATATGACAATCATAGAATAGCTTTTGTTTTCCTCTTGTTTGTGACAAATATATGTGTGTGTTTCATCCAAGACAGCTGCCTTTCTAGCCACCAATAAGGCTTATGGAGTTTGTGTCATGGTGGGTGTCCCTCCTAATGGCCAAAATATTTCTTTCGATCCTATGCTGCTTTTGACTGGACGCACCTGGAAAGGAGCTATTTTGGAGGTATGTAGTTTGTCATGAAAAGAGAGTATATGTTAAAGACTCAAGCAGGTGACTTTTCACAAATAAGAAGTATGGTTGT